TTTTTTTTTTTTTTTATAATTTTGTAATGTTTATTGATTCTTACCATTATCTTAATTTTTTTCCCATTTTTTCTGCTTTCGACGTCTTAATATGTTGAAAATTCTTTATCCTATATTTTTATTTATCAAGTAGTTGAAATATTTATCAAGTTTTGAAAAAAATTCCGTCTTTATTTAAACTATGTAATTACATTCATCATATACTAGAACTATTAATTTATTAATTTCCTAAAAAATATAAAGTTTGAACCATTAAAATTTAAAAATACTCAATGTTTGAGCAAATTTAGTAAAAGCTTTATAGCTAAAAAATAGACAGAACATTTCTTTAATAAATTAAAGTATTTTATTGAATCGCACAAATAACTTTAATATTACTTCCTCGTGCATCGAACGTGATACTGCACTAGCATAAGCAACAACCTCACTTAACACGACAATAATACAACGCAAGACCAAAGCAGCTCCTTAATAGCTTGCTCCCAGAAACCGCACGATTATATAGCCAAAGGGAATAGGCCGCGCCTAAAATCATCCCAAGGGCAGGAAAAACAACTACTGCGAAACACATAATGACAATACAAAACACATAATAAGCAAATAATTATAACAATGATGAATAAAAAATTTAGAGGAAACCCTTCTCCTTGCAGCTTTTAATTGCATCGTCGAACATTTCAGCTAGCCCATTTTTATACTTGAACCCGGTGTCCTCTAGTTTCTTCGTGGACGCACCCGAAAATTTAAGGGGTTTTACATCCATCCAATATCTGCACCAGTAAAGTGTTTTTTTTTTTTTTTTCCTTCAAAATGACACCTAAATCCAGACTCCTAAGGAGGGAAAAAAGTACTAAAATGAAAAGAACTCACTCTGGGTTTGGCATCTTGTATTCAAGGTACCTAGCAGAAATAAATTCACATAGTTCTGCTATAGTAAACTCAACAGCCGCGCAAATGTATCGCCCTTTTGCATTTGGATACTCAAACAGATGTATATGAGCTCTAGCAACATCGTCAACGTGAACCAAACTCGTGTCCTTTACATGCTTGTTATGTAACTTGTCCGCTGTCGTCAAATTTCGAAAGAAAGAAGCAAATTCAGATGCACATTGTCTACATATTCACGTTCGCATTATGTTTTTAAATCATATTTGGATTTAAATTATATGATGTGTAAGAGTTTCATTTTGCTAATAACTATGTCATATGACAAATCAATTTATTGGTTCTGTGAATTTTTTTATAAATTCATATGGAGCCAACCTTCGGCCAAGAAAAGAAAACTCCTATCATCGTTATTTAAAAAACGGGATAGCAAACCAGTGAAAGTAAATCAAATACGTGCAAAGTGATCATAATGAATTTATTTTGTAAAAGCTCGTCGAACACAATTTTAGTGAATATTTAAAGAAAAATATATTGTGAGTTCATAATTTTCTAGCCCAGTATACTCTTAATTTACGAATCCATCCCTAGGCACATTCACCATATGTGGGCACAAATCCATTAATTGAACCAAGTTTCATTTTGTCTTAGTAGAATGAGCTTAAGACTTCGAATTTTGAATGACTAGTATATAGCTCGTGCGATGCACGAGTAAACAATATTAACTAATAGTTATAAATTAAAAATTATAGTTAAGTAATATTAAATAATAATTATAAATTAAAGATGTAAGGTAACCTACATAATATATGTAAAATGTATCTAAAATATTCTATTTAAGCGTAATTCTCATTCAACAGAAAATAGTTTAAATAACAAAAAAACAACATTTCAACATATACACTAACACGACCTACATGCATGGAATCGGTGATCAGACGATCTAAATCGATAAAAATAATCGAAAGGTAATGAACAATCCATTTCACCTATAAAAGACAATTTTTTCTGAGAATTTAGGGTTTTCATAAGATCCATCACTTGCACATTTCTTGTTTTTCCTCAACTTTGCTTTGTTCGATTATGAATAACGATTAACAAATTAACCTTGTGAATATTATGTTTTTTTTTTCAATCGATTATACTTATTTCCAGAAATCATGTAAAAGCGATGGATCTTATGTTTTTTGTTCAAATTTCACTTGTTTTTTCAACTACCAAACAAGTTATTGGATTTATATTGTGTTTTTTTTATTTGGGTGTCAAAAATTAATACAAATCTGGTTTTAGTTTTTGATTTTTAATTCGAATCGAAAAATTTTCTTTCGAGAAACATGAATTTCAGAGATGATTTTTTGAGTTTTTGTTCAATTCTCAAAGTTTATTTCACAATTTTTCGAGTTTGTTGTACTGGGAAGATCAATACGTTTTTATTCGGTTTTCGTGAATTTATTAGAATAAAAATAGATATCTTGCTCGAATCTAGGAAATTTTGTTCGAATATGTGATTAATGTTCGATTTTTGTTTTCAATTTTTGAAATTTTTACCAAAACACGTGAAATCCGACATGAATTTTTGTTTATGATCAGATCTGACTTTATGTTTTCTTTTTCTCACACAAAGGTCACAGTAAGGGTGGAGCAAGATTATGTGTTACGAATATTATTTGGTTTTTAAAAGTCAAATGCAAATATGGGGTGTAATTTTTTTTTTTCTATTTTCAAAATTAATGAGAAAAATGACAAATTTTGGACTATGTTTAAGTTTTCATTTTTATAAGATAATTTTTTTTAAAAAAAAAAAATAGTGTTGTATGGTATGGAAAGTGAGATTTTCTAAATTATGTTAACATTAATTATATTTAATTGAGAAATATAATAATACGGTAAATTATAATACATTTGAACTTATAATATAGTGCCCGAAAATTAATTTATGGAATCCTTCATTTAAGGAATGATTAAATGCTTGTCGATTTTGAATTTCCAGTTCCCGATTTTTGGGACTTAGAAATTTGAATGACTGATTTTGAAATTTGATTTTTTTTAAAAACACACGAAATCAGGCATTAAGTGCCGCAAGAATTAAAAATATGTATAAAAACAAATTTAAATGAAACTTTCCAAAAAAGGAATATAATTAATGTTCCTGGATTTTTTAGTTACTATTTTTTATAAATGGTAATTCTTATAACGATTTTGCTATGAAGCTAATGGTTGGCTTCATAGTGGAGCCAACCTTCTATATACAACAAGTATTCATGCCATATTCTATGATTACTTAAATGATATCTATATGCCATATTCTATGATTACTTAAATGATATCTATATAATTTTATTAATAAGGTAAGTTTATTTGTTGTATATACAATGTTGGCTCAACCATAGAGCCAACTGTTGGTTTTATAGCAAAACCGATTCTTATAAATATATAGATTTGCAAACAGACAAGCGAGTTTGTTAGACTCACCGAAAATCAGGGCCATGGACGCATAAACCGAGAAGGGTATGCGATTACAGATAAACGGGCCTGTGACTACAGTGGGCAGGACACACACGAGATCCAGCCCGAGCTCGTCAGCGCAATTAATGGCTGCTTTCTCGGCCAGAGTCTTGGTGACAAAGTATGGGCCCCCGTATGGCTTCTGCCTCCTTACGAACTCCACATCAGTCCAGGAACTCTCGTCGATCAAGCCCGATAGGCCCGTCATAGCTCCCACACATGCGGCCGTGATGCTGGAGGTGTACACCACGCGCCTAATGGTCTTGGCATCTGCGCAAGCCTGCAGGATGCCCTGCAGGCCCGTCGTGACCCGTTTGACCTTCACATCCTCGGGCTCTGTCTCCTCGAAGTCCAAAGGATGGGCCACGTGGAAAAGCCCAATGCACCCCTCGATGGCGGGCCTAAAGGTCTCAGGCCTGTTGAGGTCCGCATTGAAGATCTGTAGCCTTTCGGATGCGCCGGGGAGGCTCGTCAGGAAGCTGATGTCCCTTTTGCACTCTGGATTGGAATGTCAAACTTTTTTGCAAGGAAAATAACAAAAAAAGGTTTTACAAACAGAAAATATTTGAGGTCTTTCACAATAATCCTCAGAGGTTTGTAATTTTGAATCTCTCAAAACCTCTCCACTAAAAATGCCCTAACGGTCTCGACTGAGAATGTTGATTTAGAGAAAATCAAACCTGGATCGATTCTTGAAGTTGTGTTGACATGATAACCATCTTCAAGAAGCATTTTCACAATCCATGAGCCAATAAAACCTGTTCCACCAGTCACACACACACACCCTTTCTTGCTATCCATCATTACCTCTCTCTCTCTCTCTCTCTCTCTCTCTCTCAATCAATTTTGCTTCTATATTATGCGTGAGCAAAAATGTATAGGCGTGCATAAGCTTAATTATATAACCAAATATAATAGTGAGGCTACTAATGCAAGGTTGGCCTAGCTGTTAAGCATCCATATACATTTTTTTGTATACTTTCAAACTGAAATATCATATTTTAGCAAATACCAGCAACAAAAATTTGACATTTCGTAACGTAAATATACATTTGTTAATAAACTATATTGAGTCGACCTGGTAAGCGATTAGGCCACCTCACACAAAAATTTGTGTTAACCAAATATGGGAGGCCATTCTTGTCTTTTCACCGTGATGAATAAAAATCTCAATCGCTTTCGCATGGGCCTTTGCAGCAATTTGCAAATGTGCCAATTATTGAAGGTGAAGTATCTACGGTCCCGTGATCTCATGGATATCCTCGCCAACCCAACACAGCAGTTTCA